TCTCTCTCTCTCTCTCTCTCTCTCTCTCTCTCTCTCTCTCTCTCTCTCTCTCTCTCTCTCTCACTCTCTCTCACTACTCATACATGAATAATGCTGGATATAAAGGATATTTGTTCTAGTAATATATATTATATTTTTTTTACTTTCATGCATGTGGTGCCATAATTGTTTTGAAATTTGTTTTACTCTTGTTTTTATTCCTCCAAATTTGAAGTTGTAATGAATATTATCATTATAATTATTATTACTTATTTTTTATCACTATGGTTCTTTCATTATGTAGTCAGGGAACTTGAGATATCCCATCTTCATTTCATACTATATGCCGTGTTAAACTGTTCATTCCAGTCTAACTCAAGTGCACATGAGGGCCTTGAGTTCAAATGTGATTTCTGTACAGGTTCTCACAATCAACACTTATTTGTCTTTCACAAGAGAGTGGAGTGAGGGAAAGGAGCCATAAGCATAAGTGCCATAAGACCTTTGTGTATTATGGTACCGTGTTGTAGATGCTTATTAATCCAACCACCACAGGTTTTTGGAAGGTTTTCCCCATCTTATTTTTTTCCCCAAGGCTGTGAGATGGCTCAGGAGAGACAGGCTGACTTTGGGAGAGATGAGGGAGGCTTTCTCTCGTTTCCCCTTTCCCCACTCAATCCCACTCTCTTACCTAATTCAGCAAACACTCATTGTCCTCCTCTTCATTCCTTCTTGCATTCTCACTCATCGCCATGTCCTCATTCTCTTCCTCCTCGCCATGCATGTAGTTTGAATATCAGAGGAATCTATTTATGACAAACACTTCGTGAGTATTTTTCAGCCTTTTTAATTTTTTTTACATTTTTTTTCTTTATTATTTGTGACTGTATGCTATTTTATCATCATTATTACAAAAGCCTGATGGCAGTTGTAAATAGAGCAAATAGGTTGTTGGTGTGAGTTAGAGCCTATGTATATCTCAGTGTAGTTGTTCTTCATGCAAGAATCAATAGTTTTGTAAATTAGTGACTTTACAATCGCTGTGAGGCTGAGACCTTAGGCCAGCCTGCTGTAGCAGAGAAGGAGAAAGGCCTATTGATAACCAATACAGATGTTTGTATTTGTTTGGATCAGTATTATTAGGTTAGGAAAAATGATCCCTCTCTTTCATGTGCTTTGTATACTTAATCAAATTTGATCAACACAAATATTTCTTGAGTCACACAGAACTGTATATAATGAGTATGAATGCTGAATTTTTCTTGGGATGCTATGCACATGGTTTTAGTTTGATGTACTCACAGAAGTGCACAATTATTATACACATTACACATTCCTTGAAGAGTACCCTGACCCAACCAGAGGATAATGTGGAAGGTAGTTGGGCTTTGCTTTGAAATCTTTGCTCTCTTTCCTTCCCCAAAGTCAGATATAATTTATTGGAATATCTTACTGGTTTTCTTGGGATTACATGGAAATATTGATTCATATACAAAGTTGAACATGGCCAGGTATGTATTTACAATAGATATTGCTTGAGCCATCTTGAGGATTGCTTGTGAAAATGTTTCTGGCTCAGAATATTTTTCTAGGGCAGTTCAATCATTTTGAATAATAGTTCACATGCAGCTAACAGATAAACGATGTAAATGTACATTGTCTTAGCAGAAGTGAAACAGGTCCATATATTTGTAATGAAAGATTAATTTTATAGGACATGCCTTTTTAATTTGCATCTCTTTATGATTGCTAATATAGAGTCTGTTTGCAAACTAAAATATGCTTTTGATTTGGTTTAAGCTTGGTGAAGATTTATGCTGATATAAGTTAAACATTTTTTTCTTTTTTTTTCTTCAAAAATACAAGGGACAGATGTAATTGTCCTTCGTGCTTATTTAAGAATAAATTGTTATGTGTGTGCATGTGTAGATGTGTGTGTGTGTGTGTGTGTGTGAATGTGTGCATGTGCATATGTGTGTATGTATATGTGTGCATGCTGTGAGGTTGCCTAGTATGTTCTGTGTAGAAGTGTAGAACTCCATTCGCAGTTATTAATAATTTCTTCTTATTTAAGGGTTTGGATTTGAACAGGTTTTGAAGTGCGAAGAATAAACTATTCATTCAGAAGACCGAACAACAAAGAATAATAGTGAGAGAGTCATTTAATGTTATATTACTCCAGTCATTTTTGTGTGATTTGTAAATATCAGGGGTTAAAGGTTTTTTATTGTTAACAAATGCATTATAGTGTAGCTGGAAGAATATCTAGAAACACAAGAAGAAATAGTTTGAATTTAGGAAGGCTTTGATGATATAGTTTTTGAAAGATCTCTTTGAGAAAAGGTGCTTTTATGGCTATTTATATAACTGATATCATGAAGTATTAATGTAAATGAAAATCTCCTTAATATCTAAATTACTAAGAAGTGGAAGAATAGCATCATTATTATTTTTATAGTAATTATTATTATCATTATTTTATGTGTATGCATACTTTTTTCAAGGATTGGTTGAAATACCAATATGAAATCTTTGTAACGAAAAGGAGCGTTTGTCTGTATCAAATCATATCAGAAAAGTCCCTGTGCTTGGGTCAGGGTACTTCCATTTCATTTCCTCACCCCCTTTTGTATTATTATTATTATTATTTTTCTCTCTATTTTTTTATTACTATTATATCTTTAAGTACACTTTCAGTGCTGGTAACTGTGCTGTACAAACATGAGGGTCCCTCGTGTAAACCCTCTCCTTTTTCTGTTGTCTGAGTGAAGATAGGAAAGAGTGCTGCCTAACTTGAAACATTTTCTACTGCTGCCATATTGTAGAGTATACAACACATCGGACTCTTCTTAATGCACAGTCGCTACGTACAGTGTTGTATACAGTGCTCTAAAAAAAAGAAAAGAAAAAAAGAAACTTGACTTATTTTTTACAGCAGTGCATACAATGTTTATTTCTCAGAAGACTGTACACAGTGTTGTATCCATTACAGTGTAATGCAATACAATCCAGTTTCTACACGAGGGCATAGGAAATGTCACATATTGTATATCTGCATTATTTGGCATTCGACCTTCGCTGGTCTCTAGAACTGTGTGAAGTTATGTATACGGGTCACTACAGGCTAGTGTTCTACTATATTTATTTAGTGCATAACATACAGTACAAGGGTGTATGTACATTGGTGTGAAGGAAAAAAGACTTCATCATACTATATGTAGCCTGTTCCTTCAGCACAGGCTTTTATTTCTAGCATAGATCATGTAAAGTTGAATAAAATAAGATAAAAATAGTATAATACAAGAACAGTTAAAATACTGGCCATTGTAGGTGCATACAGTGAAACATTTATTGCAAGCTGTAAACCATTTTGCAGTGAAACTTCTCTAATACCATTATTTGTCTGGCAATCATCATAGTGAAGGACAATTTCAGCAGAACTGGCTTGAAGTGAAATGAAATAAGTTTTTCCTTAAAATTGCCTCCAAATTCTGTATTTCAATTTGATATTGTTAAGAATAGTTTAGAATAAACTATTACATGTTTAATTTTGTTAGAGAAGAAAAAGGAATAGTTTTTATGGGTAAGTGGTACTGTGAAGGATTTTATTTGAATCATTCATTGGTATGTAGATTTTCATATCTAAAGTTATTATAATTTTTGAAAGTGGATAAAATACACTTCTGCACCTTGTTATCAAGCCAAGGATAAGCAATAAGAAAAGGTAGTTTGAAGGTAACAAGTAACAAGTAACCTTAATCAGCATTGTATAACCTCATATCAGGTTGCCTGTGTTGAAAATGAGGTTCCTCTGCACAGTGTGAGTGAGACATGTGAGGGTTGAGAGTATCAGTGATGAAAAGTTAGAAGAGGGATATTTGGACATAATGGAAAGAATGGCATTTGCAGATGTATTTATTTATTTATTATTGTTGTTGTTATTACTTTTTTGAAGGATGTATTGTGGAAGAAAAATTAGTCAACTCACGTTTTTGGTATTGCATTTAATTTTTAGTTCCTTAAGTTCTCCCTTC